TGAAAATACAGGTAGAACGTATACATGTGATATTAGTGCATCTCCACAGGTTAGAGTCACAGGGTGGGGCAAGGCTTTATTAATCATGATCATCATGAACCAACAATTTGCTGTTTATCCTGACAGCAGTACCACTAGCTCTAATCCAATGCCATATTCAGCTGAAATAGTACCACCCACATCCACAAAAATACGCACACTCACTCAGATAAAAACAACCTTGTCTCCTCTTAATCGTTAATCACTGACACGTTCCCCCTCCTCAGTTTGCTCTGATTCATCATGATGTTTTTTTCAGACAAATCGCTCCTCCAAATCAATCTACATGCGGGAATGTGACTGCCAAACATGGAACCATAATGAATGTCTAATATTTGGGATAGGTAGAAGGAGCTTTAGTCCAAATAATAAAATAAACATAAATCATTCAGTATTGCCCTTTTTTATGATGACATTGTTAAAAGTAAATTAATTATTCATGTAAGTTATTAGTAATGGTACAAATTTGAATGAGCAGTTAGTATGTTATGGTTTTTAGTTGTAATTACACCTAGATACCCATATACAACCTTCTGGTATTTCTTCACCTGCCATGTTTCCAGAGACTTTGCCTCAAGTTGAGTCTTTCAATTTGAGCACTTGTCTATGAATATTTGCATATATTACAGGACTGCTTCCGTAACACAAATTCACATTGATTTACACTACTTGTCTGGCAGAGACCACTCCCTTGTCTCATTATTATGTCACAAATATGCAGGGTTTCAAGGATCCTTTAGGACCTGCGTAGTTCAGTCTTTCCAAGCAGCCAATGGGAAATAATATTAGTCTCTGCAAGATTGTAATAGCTGTAGATTTTAATAGCTTGTATATCGTATTTTTATATAATTCAATGGGGTTATCCTGACGATACGATGCATCAGGGAATTGATCCAGTAAACCACAAGATTTCATGAAATGTCTTTTGAGCTGTAATGATTATTGATTATAATTGCTGAAGCAAAGATCTAGATAACTTAACATTCATGGCACAAAATGTCAAGTTGCACAAGTAGCACGGCACATAACCTTGGTGTACTTTAATCCTGATGTGGATTTTGAAGCACAACAAAACTGCCTTTAATCATGTCAGAGACGATGTACAACCATTTCTCTCCCTGGCAGATACCAGTGGATAATCTCATTAACCATTGGGATCCTGGCGAAGATCTCTGCAGACAGCTTGCTTATGCAATTAAGAATTAGACAAATTACAATCCAACAGGCCCACCTGCTGTATTTTAATTCATAGTGTCTGTTCATCATCTTGTAAGTCTCCAGTAATCATGGTACTGTAGGTTAAATTTTGTGAGATTAAATAAAAGGTTAAATAGAAAAAGAAAGACTCAGTATAGCTTTTGGTTGTTTGTTGTGCTATGTTTGTTTTAAAGGGAAACTTGACCAGGCATAAGAACGCGGAGTGCTCTGATTAGTTTCACTAGAAAAATTAAATGTAGGGGGAAATGCAAAGATGCGCCCCTTGATTTAAATAGAGACACACACACATATGCACGAACAAATCTAGCTAATTGAATCCCTGGTGAGTGTTGCGGGCTCATTAAACCTTCCAGCCAGACCTCGATGATCCGTCAAGAGCTGAGCACAGATGAAAGACAACTAGAGTCTACTTTACCTGGGGCCAATCTACTGAACACCCCCTCACTCTGGCTATCGCAGTCCTTCTCTAAACCCTTCATCAAATGTTTACACATCCTTGAAATGTTATTATTTATGTTGTTGCTTAGTTTACTGCATATAACTGGAAATGTTAAAAGCACAGGAGCACTTTTTTGTTATCTCCCCATACACCTTGAAAGATGAATATTTAATTTCTGTTTTCTGCCTTACAACCCGTGAGCATTCCTGCAGGCCTTCAAAAGATAAAGACAGTTCAGTTTGGGGTCAGCATCAGGGAGTGGAGGTCACTGCTACTCTGTACTCCAGGCAGATGGAAAGACGAGAACAGACAAAGCTGCCTTTAAGAAAGTGCATCAATCGGGCATTCACAGTGGGATGAGTCAATTCCATAGAAAGGAGTTTAAAGAGCCTGAAGTCAGAAGCCATACATGTGTAGGTAGTCATTTTGAATATTTGAGGTTGAACGTTCAAGACCACCAGAGGAGAGCATGAGAGGAGAGTTGATTGCAGAAAGCTGTTATTCCTTTATTAACCACACAAAAGAGAGATAACATTTGGGTGATGCAGTCTTTAATTTTTCTTATACAATCTTCTGCTCTTCGTTCACAGTGAGATATATTATAGTAGTAATATAGTTCATAGTGAGATCTATTTTGAATCAGCACATTATTGCCATTGGCAGGAATATTCTCATAACATTTAACGTCCGCTCCAGATCCATCCAGAAATTTGCCGCATTCATTTTCTGTCTATCAGGAAATCAGCTCTGGTATGTCCTGCTGTGTGACTTGTCACATCCCCTACATAATATCAAACATACCCTGCAATGAAATGTTCCTGGCCTTACACATTGCCAAACTCACCCTGACACTTCCCTTTCATTAGCATCCCATCTGATGAGCTCATTTCCGCGCCAACACTTATATCCCGAGCCAAGCCTGGAGACAGACACGCATACACTCCCTTACACACAGCCCCCACTTTCAACCACTGCTTAGGGAGCTGTTTGATTCTTCAATTTATCATTTATGTCAGAGGGGGCAAGTTAAAAGTCCAAAAGCTATCGATTGTTTCCATCTTGACAAGAGAAAATTCAGAGCCGCTGGCAATTAAGAGCTTCAGTTGTTGTCAAAGGAGACTCTGTCTGTGTGTGTGTGTGTGTGTGTGTGTGTGTGTGTGTGTGTGTGTGTGTGTGTCTGAGGCTGGGGGAGGGATTGGGGGGGATCCACTTTGCAAATACACTGAAGTGAAGCAAGCAATTGAAGGAGGGAGCAGAAATATACAAGACAGGGATGCAAAGTAATGTGTAGTTGCAAAGAGTTAAGCGAGAAATGTTTGCATTTTTATGGGCCCAATCTGTAAAGCGCTGTTTCAGCAAGTCGAAGGAGCCGAGACCTTATCAAGACATTGCTTAGATCACAGGGCCGAGATTCTCAAGTTCAGCACTTTTATGATTGCCTCTGCTCATATTCACATGAATATGTACAAGTGTGTGCATGCGCAACTACATACAAATGCACACACGTACCCATGAACACATCCATATAAACACATGCACTTACAAAATCCATAATCACTTCATTAGCCTTGTATTGCCTGTGGAAGCATCAATTGATTTTACACCAGTACATGTCATTCCTCTCCAATGCCGTTAAATACTCCATGCATGGAAGATTAGCATCAACATATCATTCTCAAATTAATTTAGATAACAGTATAATGACTGTGGGGGGAAAAGGCAAATCTTAAAAGTCTAGGTATGTCACTCTCACATATAGGGTTAAGAGCTTTATCGCTTTAGGTAGTAACCAAAAGGAAAAAAGATCACTGATACAAATAGCCTCCATGAGTTTCCTCACAGGAATATGGATATTTCGGATGAGTCTGGAGAAGAAGGGGGATGAGTGAATGCATGTGTGCCTTATATGTCTGTAGCAGTGGTGGTATGAAAAATAATTAAGTGAAGGTGAGTAAGTTTTAAAGGCCTCTCTGTAATATTAATGGATTTGGAAGTGCATGTACTTTCACTCTGTAAGGCACTGATGAACTTCTAAAGGTTATAGTGTCTCAGCACTATGACAGGCGGCTGTCTTATTATTTCCCTAAAATCAGGAGTAAGTAGTTTCTAGGATGTTTTTACTCACTAATCACTATTCGATCAGTTGCAAGTTATAATTGCTATAATCAGTATAAATTAATTTACTTGTAGGTTATACACAAATTAGTTATTGGCCAATTAGTCTTTGATTTAGGCTCAATATGATGATTGATTTCCAGTAACCTGGTAATTACTTTATTATATTAGTAACTATTAATAAATGGTGTGTTACAGTTTGTTTTAGGCAGATCGAGGATTAGACACAGGGCTGAAAAAGGCAGAGGGCATGTTGGTAGGAGATGGTGTGGTCAGGGTTGTGTTTGCAGAGGCGTCAGGTAGTGAGCAATGAACTAAGTGTGAGCACTAAAATCCTGCGGCACAGGAAAAACACACACAATGTTAAATCAACTGTACATAAAACAAAAGCATTAATAATTATTATTTCCAAAGCTCTAAGTGTGGTTATATGTGTTGTGATACTTTGGTTATTTCAGCCAAAACAACATTTGTGTCTATTTTATGCAATTAAAACACTCCCCTCCACATCAGGCAGTTGCAAGAAATGTTAGCCTTCCTGACATCAGCTCAACAACAGCTCCAACAAAATCAACAGCTATAATCCCTGCTGAGCTGTGGGCCCACGGAGCATGCCAGGGATTAAAGAGTCTGGCTCACCATTTCATTTTTACAAGACTCTGCTTACTCATATTTTCAATAAAAAATATTTTCAATCACAGAAGAACATAAAAGCAGCATTAAGGGGTTTTTAATGTTTTCCATGGAACATGCTCTGTTTTGTCTTGACAAATGAGGCCCTAATGGTTTTCAGTTTATGTTAAAGAAGTGCTGTGGTACAGTTGGCAGACTTCTAAATACTGTACAGACATTGATGGACTACATGGATGTTTGTGTTTGGCTTTTGGTTTCGTTTGACTGTACAAGCAAAATTACATCTCCGATTATTTTTCGAGCATAACTCAGTTACAAGTGTGGTTTCTTGATGTAGTGTACTGTAATTAAACATTGTTACGACAATAATAAATCCCAAAGTAACGTATATATACATGGCTACACGTTAAAAGTCAGAATGAAGCAAAATCACTAAAGAATATAGCTGGTGATTTGTCAGTCAACCAAGTCTTATTAGCTAAATGGATATCTACCTCTATTTGACACGGTATTTGGGTATTTCTTTTCTAAACTCCCCCCTTTATTTTTCTCACAGCTACACTGGCAGAGTTGTGGGAAATGGTCTGCACGCCCAGAGGCAAAACCCAGAGGTCAAAGTTCGCAGCCCAAACCCTACACTGGCTGAGGTCAAGGAGAGGTTGGAGCGCTTTAATCAGGTATGAGTACTTTTGTTCACACATGATTCTGTGTTTCAGCATTTAGAATGTACAGTGACTGGCCTAACACAAAAAATATTTGAGAGACCACTGAATGCCAAGGGGCTTATTACAATTACTGCACAGGTGCAAACAAGGAGATATAGTGTCCTTGCTGATTTACCCATTGTTTACCTGACTGATTGTTTAATGTTGCCTTGGCTAAAAACAACAGTTAGTTAAATTTATAAAACATCAAGCGTGTATGTGAGGAAATGGGGCACATTGATGTTTGGAGGATCACACATCCAAGAGAGAGGGACTTTTCGTTTCATCAGTGTTCACAAGAGTAGCTCAAAAATAGATTTTTTTTTTTGTTCTAAGATCCAATCTAAATCTGAGAACCTCTTGCTCTATTGGAAATAATATAATCTCAGACCATTCCCCCATATTCCTTCAGCTCCTCCACAAGGAGGGCACCCCCCTACTAGGATGTGGAGATTCAACTCTTCCCTGCTTAGTGAACGTAACTTTATCTTGTTTTACCTTGAGTTCAGTATATTTTATGCAATTAACAATACACCTGATGTGTCCCCTTCAACTGTCTGGGAAACAAACAAGGCATATGCCAGAAGCCTAATAATATCACATATGAAAAGTAAACGACGGAAAGCACTTGACCATCAGAGAGAGTTGGAGATGCAGTTATCAAAAGCTATAAAGGCTTATGTTGAGACTAATTTGGAAACAATGTTGGCTGTTAAGGCCTCTTTTAACTCCTTACTTACTTAAGAAGCTGAACAGAATATTAGATTCCCTAAACAAAAGCTATATGAATTCGGCAACAAACCAAGTAAATACCTGGCTAGACTCGTGAATAATCAGTAATAAGCTGATTCCCATAGTATCTCAGACGAAGAAACATAAATAATAATAAACCAATAACCGAGCAGGAAGTTAAGGGGGCTTTACACTCACTACAAACAGGTAAGGCACCAGGCCCAGATGGGCTGGTTTGTGAGTTCTCTAAAGAATTTAAATCCTTACTACTTCAACCCTTGCTTATTATGTTTCACGACTCATTGAGGAGTGGTTTTCTTCCCAGGTTGCTGACAGAAACGGATATTAGCCATATATTCAAAAAGGGTAAGGCTGATGATGATTGTGCATCTTATAGGCCTATAAGCCTATTGAATACAGACCTTAAATTGCTTTCCAAAATCCTTGCTTTGTGTTTAGAAACAGTATTGCCTTCCATTATAAATAATGACCAAACAGGATTTATTACCGGCAGGAATTCATGTAGTAATATGAGGAGGCTTCTCAACGTAATCCAGCTTTCCTAGTCCAGCAAACTTGACTGCATAGTGGTTAGTCTGGTTGCGGAGAAGGTTTGGGTCGAGTGGCCCTATATTTTTTCCACTTTAGAGACATTGGGCTCAGGAAAGGTCTTTATTAGTTGGGTGAAGTTACTATATAATGATCTGTTATCCACTGTTCTAACTAATGGCCGGATTGCATTATTTCCATCTGGGCCCAGGTAAAAGACAGGTTTGCCCTTGTCCCCCGCTACTATTTGCAAGTGCTATTGAGCCTTTGGCCAAGGCTATCAAATACACATCCTCTATTACGGATGTCTCAGTCAGGAGTAAAAGTCATAAAATTTCTCTGTACGCTGACGACGTGTTGTTATTTCTCACTAACCTGAAATACTTTATGTATTTCAGATGCTTCCAATTTTGTTCTCAAGAAAAGTAATTAGTGAAATAAATAGCTGGTTTACTACTTTTATCTGGAACTGAAAAAGACCTTTTATGAGTTTGGCCAAAACTTATGAACCCACAGGTGGCCTATCTGCTCCTAATATAAGGCTGTATCAGTTGGCATCACCGCTGCGCTATATTGCTTATTGGATTAAGAATGATAATGATTCTGTGTGTCTTGACTTAGAATCTTTGCAGGTTAAAAGAAGACAAATGGAGATTAAAGCGTCTTTTGGTGACAATATGATTATTAACACAACCATTAAACATGGTGATATTTAAGGAGACTGGAAGGACGGGACGGACAGCTATCCTCCCTCTCGCCACTATGGGGTAACATAGATTTCCTTCCTGCTACCACAGATAGGGGCTTTGAGCTGTGGGATGGTAAAGGGATTGTTACTATTGGGAATTTGTATGAAAGGAAATATTACTTTCATTTGACCAGATACAAGAAATATAGTATACCACAAAATGTTTTTTAGATATCTGATATCTTCAGATACGGAGATTTCTGAATAGTCAAAAGGGCACCAACCTTTATCATCAGCTTTCTCCGTTGGAGAATATAATATCTTTTGGAAAGGACAAAGGTATTTTGGGGCGTGGATATAAAGCATTATCTAAATATGATAAAGACAATGATCTGAATATAGACATCGATAAAGCAAACTGGATTCAAATATGGGAAATGGCAAATAACATTTCAGCTTGCAATAGGATGAGGGAAACCCAATTCAGACCACTACACCATTTGCAGATTACGCCCTATCTTAGTTAGTGTATTGCTGAGTTCGAGAATTTTATTCATTGTGTCTGGAGTTGTAAATATGTTGACAAATACTGGAATAAAACAGTGGAAAGACTATGTCTAATTTTTTGTATTAAATTGAGCAAGGACACTTTATCCTTATTGTTCAATCTACCCCCCAAACAACTTAAAAGCACACACTCCAAAAGACTGTTTCGTATTCTCACTTTTTGTGCAAAGAAGAAACTGCTGAAATGGATTGACTGCAAGCCAACAACATTAGCCGGGTGGCATGACGTCATTTTTGGAATATCTGATGTACTGGTCAAAGTGTAGATTTAGGTATTTTATAGTATATGTTTTTGGGGGGCACGGTGGTGCAGTGGTTAGCACGGTTGCCTCACACCAAGAAGGTCGTGGGTACAAACCCGGGTTTCCCCGGCCTTTCTGTGTGGAGTCTGCATGTTCTCCCCATGTCTGTGTGGGTTCTCTAAGGGTGCTCTGGCTCCCCCCTCAAAGCCATGGGGTTGGTGACCCTAAATTGTCCTTAGGTGTGAGTGTGAGCTTGAGTGGTTGTTCGTCTATGTGTGGCCCTGCAATGGACGGGCGACCTGTACAGGGTGTACCCTGCCTTGCGCCCTATGTCAGCTGGGATTGGCTCCAGCCCCCCCGCAACCGCAATGGATGGTCCCCGTTTTTAGACTACATGGGTACAAGACTTGTGTGGGTGTTGTCCTCTCTTATATTTATTTATCTGTTTTATTGTATTGTATCATTCCTGATCCACTAAAGACAAAAAGTCCAGGGAAACACTGAAACAGGTCAAAAGTTCTTAGTCGACTGAACTGAATCAAGTTCTTAGTCAACAGAAGTATTATGCAACCAACAACATTAAAGACTTAATTGATAAGGCTTTTGTCTAATTAATATGCCTGGAACAATATTACACATAGCCAGGACTATTGAAATGTCCTTGATTTTTCTCAGATCCAAAGGCTTATTTTGAGCGCAGAGGCAGATATCAAAGATAAATGAAAAGGATAGAGGGTGAAAGGAAGGCGGTGACAAAAAAAAGTGAATTACTGTGGAAAGAAAAAAAAAGAAAGATGAGAGGCGGGAGCAAAAGGTCAGAAATGAATGACAGATAGGCAGAGATGACACAAGCAGCTTCAAAGTGACACTGTTTGTCATGTAGATGGGGTTTAGCGCTGAAAAGGACCAAGAAGAAAAGGGCCATTTCACACAGTCCCTAGAGGCCATTTGAGGAGACAAACGGAGCAGGATTTGGTTCCCCTCTGCCTGCCTGCCCTTTTGTTGCCCTGAAAATTATGCCCACAGATAGGACACCAGACATCTCTCATTTTCTATCTCTATACCTCTTTTTTTACCCTGTTTTTTCTATACCTATTTGATAGCTGAAGCATGTCATTAATATGCCTAAAAAACTAAACTTTTTCTCATTTGTCTTTGTTTCTCTCTGTTAATGCATTCCTTTTTGTGGTCATTCCACTCAATGGCATGACAACTCTTTATCATTATCTGCACACATCCTCTTACCTCTATCTTTTCCCTTCTTCCACACACTTATTTTTCTTCTCTGTTCATGGGTATCCTGTATCTCACAGATATCTCCCCATCAGCCTGTCCACCTGTCTGCCACTGACAGCTCAAGATCATTTCTGTCAGACCACAACATCCCATTGTGCATGGTCGCTGTCAAATGCCCTGTTGTCATGGTAACCATACAGAGTTGAGCGGGTGTCCTGTTGACATTTGCAGGGCTGAAAAGCCTAACTTGAATCTAGACCAGGTGGCAGAGCTTGGCTGAGCTTTGTGTTTATGCAAGATTAGAGTAAATGATCACAGTGTGTTAAACTGAATAATGTGGCAGCCTTTCTAAATTTAAACATCGACAAGTGCTGAAATATAATCACTAATGCGCTCGGACCTGCATGCACACCGACAGCTTTACATAGTTGCAGTATGCATACATTAAACTTTTTAAAAAAGCATCAAACATTGCAAAAACTGTCTAATTTCTGAATTTAAACATTTTAACTTTTAACTTTTGACACACCTATGACTGCTAACCAGGGTTCCTTCCCAAACTGATTCATATAGATCAAAGTGATTTTGTAGAGTTAGATCCTCTGCCAACAGCTGTAATAGGCTAATAGCATTTCATGCTCAAAGGCCTATGACAGGCTTAGAGGCACGCTCCCTAATTTTATTATAGCTCCCCATAGCACCAAATTTCTTCCCACATCACTGTTCTGTTCAAGTTCTGACACTCAACATTGAACTGTGAGAGGAAATTTCAAAGGTACTTACACAAAATCAGCAAGTGTTCCTACCTATTGAAGTTTCTTGCTTAAAGTAACTTGAGCTTCTCTGCTAAGTAGGTAGTTTTTAACTGACTAGTTGCTCAAGTCAAAATCTCTCTCTCTCTCTCCTCTGTGTCTGTCCTTGTCTGTAGTCAGATATTCAGTTAGATAATTGTCATTAGT